TTCAGTGATCTTAAGTACATTTACAATATTATATAACTACCACTTCTGTCTAGTTCCAGGAATTTTTCAAAATCCCAAATGAGAACCCTGTCTCTACTCCCCAGCTGCTTCCCCTCTGCATCACCTGGCAACCAATAATCTGCTTTCCGTCTCTATGGGCTTGCCTATTCTGGACATTTAATATAMATGTAATTTTTAAAATGTGGGCTTTTGTGACTGGCTTCTTTAAGTATAATCTTTTCAGGGTTCGTTCATGTTGTAGCATGAATCAATACTCAAGTCCTTTTTCTGGCTAGTGAAGGGACATACCATATTTTCCTTCGCCTTCATCAGCTGATGGACATTTGGGTTGTTTTTMTTATTACAAAAAATGTTGCTATATTTTCTGTGGACGTATGTTTTCAGTTTACCTGGTTATATACCTGTGAGTAGAATCGCTCGATCATGTGGTAATTCTGTTTGTCATTGGTGGAACTGCCAGATTGTTTTCTGAAGTGCTAGTACCATTTTACTCTTCTACCATTAATGTATGGGATTTCTTTGTGTACTCTTTTCTCTTATTTTTTTTTACTTTAAAGTTATAACATGTTACATTTAAGTGTATGTGTCATTTTGAGTTAAAATTTTTAATAAAATATGAGACTTAAAAAGTTCTTTTATTTTAAACCCAAGAATATCTAATTGTTCCAACACCATTTGTTAATAATACCATTTTTCCATTGGATTGCTTTTGTACCTTTATCAAAATTCAATATTGTGTATTTATATGGGTCTATTTCTTGGCCYTCCATTCTGTCCCATTGATCTGTGTGTTCTGTTTCACTGCCAATACCTCACAGTCTCAAGTGCTATAGCTAAATAGTAAGTCTTGCAACAGGTAAATAATTCTTCTCTATTCTTCTTTTGCAAAACTATTTGAGTTATTCTATATCTTTTCCTTCCCCTTATATACATTTAAGAATAATCTGTMATCTACACAAAATCTTGAGATTTTTGATTAGAAATCACATTAAACTTACATGCAGCTTTGGGGAGAATTGACATCCTTTGGTTGGAGAGAGCTGACTTTGGTTGGCTTTATTTCGCCTGCCTGCAGGGATGTTTCCAGGCTGTGGGCTTCTGTTGCTGGGATGTAGATGAGGCAAGAAGAGCACCCAGGGAAGTCCTCCACCATGCTATTGCTTAGGTCCTAAARTCTCTCGATGGTCTACCTTCTTCTTCCCAACTTAGAATATTTGTTTTGTATGCCATTATATTTAAAGAGTTTTTAGTTGTACTTAGCAGGAAAAATAGKGAAAAGTATGTCCACTCCATCTTTCCAGAAGTGCAAGTTGCATCTTCATTTTTAACAGTAGGTATTAGAGATCATTTCATATGAGTAAAGTACACAATTAAATTTTTATTTAAATTATTGAATTGTGTTTCATTTTATGGGCATACCATAAACTTTTAAAAACTAATCCYCTACTGATGAGTATTTAGGCTTTTTTTTTTTTCAGTCTTTTGCTGTTAAAAATGGTGCTTCTGTGAACAACTTCATCATATGGATCAGTTTGCATGCATGCCTGTGCAGTAGGCTGAGAGAAACTTCCTGGGAGTTTTAGAATTGTTGGGTCAAAGGGTATGTGCATTTTACATTTTGATAGCTGATAAGGAGTGATCTACCATGGAGATTGAATTACCTTGAATGTTAGGTAGGACTTCTGGTCGTGTGAGACAAAGCCCCAAAGAAGGATATTTTGAAGTACTAGGTCTCAGTATGCAACTCTGRAGTTATCTATCAGGTCCCATGTAGATACAATTTTTATGTACAGTTTAAAATAGAAGGAAAGTATGTATTGTGATCTGTAATCAAATTTTGGATTGTTGCTGTGTACAGTTTGTTTGCTACCAGGTTTTATAATATCTCASTCTACTCAAGTAAACATGTTTTCCTCACACAATTTTTCTGTGGATGTTAAATTCTCATTTGGGTCTGAATTATACTCTGTGGCTGATCAATGAAGCAATTTCTCTGAACTCAACACATCATTCAAATGTACAAACATTTCTTTAGGTTTCAGTAAAAAACTTGTTCACTCGTTTACTATTATAATTTTCAGCCCAAGATTATCCAAGGGATTTTTCTCTTTTTCTGATTAAATCAAGAGTAATGGMTAAGGTTTCAACTTTATCATTTTGATTATGATCCTTGCTGTTTCTATATTATGTATACTTAGGTTTGCTTTCTTTTGCTTAAGTGTCCATGTTGTTGTGTATGTCAGTAGTTCATTCCTTTTTATTGCTATATAGTATTCCATTGTATGAGTAGACCACAATTTGTTTTATTCTTCTGTAGGATAAATTGTTTCTAGCTTTTGATTATTATGAATAGAGTTGCTGTGTACATTTTTGTACATGCGTTTGGTGGATGTGTAYCTTGCTATCTCTATCAATATTTTTAATCAGAACCATTTTAAWCCTATAAAATTATCTGGTTAGTATATTCCTTAGCTTGTTTATTAGCCTTTATTTACCTTTTCCTAAGTTGATAATCTAAAATTTATTTAAGTTAGAAGGCTTTGCTTTATTATTTAAGTAGTTTTGGATCATTAAAGTAGTTATGACAAATTAATGACAGCTATTCGGTATATAATTGATGGAGGGTAAATTAGATGTGGTATGTGACCTTTTATCTGCAGAGACTTCTGTTGGATTGTCTTAACCCTCAAAGTTGATATTTGGCCCCGTTTTTTWAAAATATCTTTATTTTACATTTATGTGGTGCTGGGGATCGAACCCAGTGCCTCGTACATGCTAGGCGAGCACTCTGCCACTGAGCCTCAACCCCAGCCCCTTGGCCCCGTTTTTGATAAAGTCTTTGGTAGAAGGTTACCACAGTTTCCAACTCCAGTGCTTCCAGCTCCCATTCCAGTCTTTGAAGGGTCACCTGTGGAACTGTCACCACTGGCTCATCATGTGACCTGTGCTGCTGCTGCTAGGATGTGTGAAGAGTTTAATGGAGTGAAGACATCAGCTAAATTTGTTACAATGGCTACTAACTGTGATGTCCATATATTATAGTATACGTGTGAATGTCTTTTTTTCACATGGAGTTATATGCAGTCAATCACAGTTAGTTACAGTTAGTAGTGGTGATTAACTTTCTTTAGTCAATTTATCTGCTATAATTTGGGAATATTTCTCAGTGACAGAGATTTTCCTTCCATAGTTTCTGTCATTAGTGACATTGATATATCTGAATGGTAACATAAAAGTTAGCATATAACATTTCTTTTGCAATACTACTTGTTAAAATCATGGTTAATCAGTATAATTTTTGAATTAAGAAATACTGGCATGTTCCATAATAATATTGGAGTATTCCATTTTATTATTTTCTGAGACATTTAAGATATGTAGCATAATAAATACATTTCCCTCCTCCAGCTGTGGAAAAAAGTTACCAAGCACCATTTACATATAATTAATTTAACATGATTTCCTTTTTTTAAAAAAAGTGATATTTTTCTTTCAGAAATGTTCTATTTTGACAATTTCAGATTTATAGAAGATTTAAAACAGTAGTGAAAAGATTTCCTAAGAAACATTCTCCGAATGTTAYTATTTTGTTAACTTGTTKTTTTCTCTTCTTCTCCATTTCTAGATAAGTATAGGTACATAACAGTTTTTATCTCTGAACCATTTGCAACATTCACACAATGTCATTTTATTCCTAAATACTCACATTTTCTAAAAATGAGAAATTATCTTCTATAACTATGGTGCAATGATCAAAATAGGATAACTATATTATGAATATTTACTCTACAAATCTTATTCAAAATTTGCAAGTTATTTCAACAATTGTCTTTGAACCAAAATAAATCCAATTTTGGGAATGTCAAAAAAAAAGTGATATTTTCCTTGTATTTAAAATGTAAAAATTTTCCTGTTTTTTTCTTTCTGTGCTCAAAAATCCACTGTGGGTGATATCGTTTTTGCTGATATACAGCTTTATCAGGTATGACTCTTTAAGTGTCATGTTGGGATTCACAGATGTGTTGTTGAACTTTTCAAAGGAAAAACTTTCCACATTGACTCTCCTACATATATTTGAACAGTATTTATAAATGTCTTATGAGTGTTACYGAGCTTTAAGGTTCACAATGGTGTTTGTATCAAAAACAAGTTTGCCAAAGATAAATTCAAAGAGTGTTCAGAATGTTTTCTTTAAAATATTTCTGTTGTACGTCTTTGACTTTCTGTATTGTTAATCTGTATAACCCTCTGTGTTTTCTTGTCTATATGTGTAAGAGTTTGTGTACACATGTGTGTCATTCTTAACATATATATGTTTTTAAAAACAGATGCATAACCAGTGCCTTCCTACCTATGATACATATTTCTCCCCAGGCTTTCTTCAAACTGTTTCCCTTAATACATGTTAATATGAGATWCTCAGTAGAGTGGCACAAAAAGTATTTTCAAATAAGTACACTATATCCATCCTTGAGAGATTCACAGTATACTTCAGCATATCAAAGATTCTGGTTTTATGCAATAAAAAATCATCTATTTTCTGTCTCAGCATCTAGAATATTTGAGTGTGGAACCCTTTATGATACGTAGGGGTGGGCCGGGCACACCGAGTTGGGAAATGCTGCAAAAATCATGAGTAAGGTTTTCTTTAAAATATAAAAATAAAATTGGCTACACATGATTACGTTTTCAAGAGTTAAAAGTATTTAGCTGAATTATATTTGGGGGGTGATTTTCTTGTTGCATTGCATTTTGAAGGACAGTGCTGATTTCTTTCCCCTCCTGGAGCCATTACCTCTTTCCTTTGATGGTCCTCAAAGAGAATTTGTAAAACTGTAAAAATTGTGCTTTTTGTTGGAAAGCAGTTTTTTGTTYTTGTTATTGTCATTGTTTTCTTGATTGTTTCTCTTCTAAAAGAATTTACTTTTATCTACAAAAAAAAAAACCAAACCAAAACCAAAACATGTTTACTGTTTCAGATAGCATGACACAGGAGAGGAGGCCTCCCAAACCTTCCTTTATGTCAAGAGGTATTGGGGACAAAAGTCCATCCAGCCATACTAAACCAAAGGTCACAGGTATGGATTAGTAGGGTATGATTCTTGGTGACTGATGTGCTGTCTTATTTGCCCAGGCATTAAGAAAGGTTGTAACTATCACAACTTAATGTATATTTAGACTTACTTCTTTCAGGCATTTTAAGTAGTTAAACTAAAATTTTACTACRTGGTGTTGCCTAAGCCAAGAATTCCCCACCTTTTTTTTCCTGGTAAGAAGTTTCCTATGAGAACTTCTGTCTTTAGCTGGCCCATAATCAATTGGCTTTTGGGATCCCYTACTTGTAATCTTGTATATTTATAATTGCAACTGTATAGACTAGTGTTATATAGGATAAAGTGTACTGGAAGGTTAATTATGTGGATTTGGCTAACTAGATGTGGCAAAAATTAAATTCCAAACTGCAAAGGAGAAAAATATTGTCTCTTTTGCAGAAACTTMCTCACAATACATGTGGAGTTCACAGTTCTTTTTCTGTTCACTTCCGCATGCACCATAGGGTAGTTTTTAAACAAGCCCAACAGTTCATTTAAAAGGCTATAAGAATTTTTGTTAACTCAGATGTGGGTTAGAAGAAGACTATTTTTTCCTCAGTTATCTAGTTGAGCAAAACTATTATGGCTTRTTTAGAAGGAAATTATACTTAAGGAAATATTTTATATGGTATTAAGTCCTGAGATTTAGGGTTAATTGCAGGATATATAGGTATTTTTATATTAGCCTATAGATCTATAAAGGATAACTCAGATTTATTACTCTCATATATAAAAAYAATAACTACATACTTTCCTTATTCAAACTAAAAAATTTTGGGGATTGAGGATCTTGCTGTATTGTCCAGGCTGGCCCCAAATTCATGGGTCCAAATGATCCTTCTGCTTTAGCCTCCTGACTTGTATGTGTGTGGCACTGTCTCTGGCACCAGATTTTCTTAYGACACAGTGTTAATTGTGTTATCGCAATTCTGAGTTAATGGTGTAAAGTCTAGAGCTATTGACTGTAAGTTGAAAAAATAAAATCTGCTTTAGTATGGGTTCTGGAGACTCCACTGTTCTTTAGGATGGCCTGTCTTCTTAACTGGTACTAGAGCAGGCAGTGTTTGGAAATGTCTGTGATACAGCTCTATAAACTTTTTGTTGCATTTGATAAATCTGATATAAAAGATTTAATAGTGCCTTGTTTATTCTGGCATGAAGAAATCAAACAAGAAATTTGATGACCAACAATTCCAAAATGTTTAAACTTTAATTATTTTATTTTTATGTATTTATATTTTTTGTGGTGCTGTAAATTGAACCCAGGGGAGTTATATCCCCAGTGTAAATCTTAATCTTTTTATTAATTTTGTGCATTGATTTATATACCTTTTTAAAAGGATCTATTTTAAAAATGTATCACATACTAACATTTGAGAAATGAAATGTACTGTGTGATTTTTGTCTTTGCAAGCATCAGAGTGTACATACTTTCACAAACCCAGGCTATGTGGTGTGATGCTTTTGTATATAAGTTTGTTATTGGCCAAAATGTTTCTATGTGTTATAAATCTAATAGGTTATGATTCTAATAGGTTAAATTTGTAAACTGATAGATTCTTCAAATGAAATTGGAGAATGGTGATGCTGATATCTAGAAATAAACTATAGTATTTCTCAGAATACTTAAATATTAAAAAAATTAAACACTCTTTAACTTATTCCTATACCTCTTCCTCTACTGACTCTAYAGGTAAGAAATCTTTTTTTCATGTTGCAAAAATGGCTGTCAAATTTTTATAAGAGGAAGGCAATAATAAAATCTACTGTGTATCTGTACAACTGTTGGTTATATTTAAAGTTGTTGACATGATATGCATATTAATTTACTGTTAAAATAAAAAYGCTTTACAGCATATTGACTATATTTTTAAAAGGAACTTTTTTTGTTCCATAGGATCTACCTCAGACCCTGGAAACAGAAACAGATCTGAATTATTTTATACCTTAAATGGGTCTTCTGTTGACTCACAACCACAATCCAAATCAAAAAATACATGGTACATTGATGAAGGTAATGTATAATTCTAGTGTTCTTTATAGTGATTCTTTCCTTTTAACTCATCAGAGAAAAATGGCTTTTTCATCAGTATTTGTAAAYAGAATTAATAGACTTAATATTGTATAAAATTTGAACTGCATTACTGCTAATAAAACATTTAAATGTGTTAGTAACTTGTATTTTTTTTAAACTTATCTACTTAGGGTAGATCTGTAGAATCAATTGAATCATTTAAAGACTTTTCTATGGGTCTATTTTGACCTCTTTAATTTACTATGTCCCATCATTTTATATATTGAATACCTATAACTTAAATTGAGCAATTTTATAAGTGTCCTATGAAATTTTGTAAGTTTTTATGGGTATCTTGTTATGTAGGATGATGGGACATAATGGAATTTATGGCACCTTCTTTAAAAAACTATCTTCCCTTGGTTCAGGGACATAATTTTCTGATTTATTCATTTTCTTGTTCATTTGTTCAGCAAATACTTACTGAGGCTTACTCTGTGCCAGGCATTCTCTAAGGTCACAATGGTGGGGAACAAAGTAGCTATGCTCCTGCMCTTTCTGAGTTTATGGTCAAGTTGTTAAGATCAAAATTAATCAGATATAGAAACAGATGTAGGATTGCAGTGGTGACAGACATAGTGCTGTGGGAGGAAGGATCGGGATTTCCCTAGGGGCGTGGTGTTTCTTTTAGGAAGCGGCATGTGCTTAGATTTACCAGAGGAACTGTGTGTAACATGGCGAAGGAGGATCCAAGAGCCTTTTAGGCAGAGGGAATCGCACAGACAAAGGCCACGGGGAGAGTGGAGCTAGCCTTTGCCAAGGACTGAAAAGAGCCAGAGTAGCTACACAGAGACGGCACAGCACTGTAGGGATGGAAATGGAACTGCCAACAGGGCYGGGACACGTGGAGCCTGGGGTGTCCCACCAACAGGAAATGGAGAGCCACTGAAATTTTTTCAGCAACCTGTGGTATGACCAGGTTTGCCTTTTGGAGAGATTACCCAGGCTGCAGGGAAGGCAGTAAATTGAAGTGGGGATAGGTTCCAGAAATTTGATTGTAGTCCGGKACTAGACTTGGAGAAGGGATGGGGAGAAGGTAGATGGAGATGTGGGAGTTGACCTGATAGGACTTACAGATGAGTGAAAGTAGGAGTTGAGGAAGGCGTGTCCTGGTGACTCCTAATTTTCAGCTTGCGTACTTAGGTGACGAAGGCAGGTGAAACATTGGATTTTGAGTGTTTTGTATTGGAGGTGCCTTTTAAACTTACTGGAGATGAGTCATCAAGTAGGCAGTGGGAAGTACAGGTCTGGAGGCTTAGGAAAGGAGCAAGTACTCGGGAAATAAATCTGTAGGCTGTCCTCATAGAGGGCGATTGAAGTCCTTTGAATGTGTTGCCTCTGGAGAGTGAGGGGGAGAGTGTGGGTTGCAACTTAACCTTGAGGCGCTGAATGGTTGAGTGGGAGGAAAGTCAGTCATCAAAGGAGACGGAGAAAAGATGACCAGGGGGATGTGGGGAGAACCAGGAACTGTGGTCTCAAAAGGCAAGGAACAAACAGACAGCAGTGTTGAGTCCTGTGAGAGGGCAAGAGAGGGCACCACGGAACCCCCTTGGATCAGTCACCTAGAAGTCACTAATGACCTTGGTTCTGTTGTGTGGAAGAATTCCACAGAGTCCAGATTGGAGTGTGCTGAGAGCCTGGAGGGAGGAAATGAGTGTGAGGCCGATGGAGACACGTGGAAGTTTGGGTTTCATCTGAACTGTTCATATTCATTCATTCATTCATTCATTCATATTTTCTCCCTGTCCCTCCCTCCTATCAGTAAAGCCCAGTTGTCACCACGTGCCCTGGATTTCCCCTTCTTCACATCATTAGACTCTCCCCTGCTTCATTTCGGCAGCCCTGGCCTTAGTGCAGCTGCTTTGTTCCTGTSTGAATTCGCCTGGTGGTCTTCTAACTGGTTTCCCTGCCTCAGACTTGTACTTTTAAAGTTATTCTAACAGCAATGCCAGCTGCTCCACTGGCACCCCAGCAGCGCCGCCCTCACCACCCTCCTGTAGTCGCCCTTCTAGCCCACGGGCTGCTCGCCCCGCATTGGCTGAGCACTCGGTGCACATTGGTTYATCCTCAAAACCACTTTATGAGGCGGGCGTTTTTGCTGCTGTCTTCTTCACACAGTCTCTATGAATGTTTCCCAGCTCTTAAAGATAAAACTCAAATTCCTTAGTTTGGCATGTCGGGCTCCTTGTGGTGTGGCTTCTGTCATTTTCCCTGCTCCAGGCGTGCTACACTGGGGCTGTTCTTAGGATGTGTTGTGAGCACTTGTGATCGCTCTCTCTCTCTCTCTCTCTCTCTCTCTCTCTCTCTCTCTCTCTCTCTCTCTCTCTCTCTCTCTCGGATGCTCCTTCTTCCTGGAAATTCTTCTTCCTATTTCTCCACCTTTGAGGCCTGGCTTGCTCTTAAATCATCTCTTAAGTCTCAGACTTTTAAGTCATACAGAAAGCCTTTTCTTTCCTTTCCTACTTCTAGGTTAGGTTCATTTTCCTCAAAATGATCTCAAAATGTTTTGGGTTACTTTACTTTCCTGTTTCCTCTGCCACACTGTAAGTTCCTGGTGTTCAGCCCAGGATGGCATTCAGCAGATTCAGTRATTGCATGCAAACTAATTGAAAATACAGATTTACATACTATAGTGGCTATAATGACTCAATAGTTATGACATGGATTCAGTCCCAGGCTGATCCATATCTACCAATGCAACATTTTGCTATTACATCAAAAGACTCTCATGTGGAAAATGACTCAAAGGAAGTAGTCTTTGGTTCTGTCTCCTGCACTCTGTCATTCCAACTCTGAGTGGGGGACCACGAGGGAGGCAAGGAGTCTTTCTTACCAAGAAGCAGGAGGCTTATTTAATGGCATTCCCTCAGGAGGGCCTGTCCTGAGGGACGACTGTTGTTGAGAGGAGTTTCAGCTCTCCAGTAACCCAGGTCCTTTGGGAACACAGAGCCTGCTGGCCTCTGGGTGTGTACAAGGCCCAGCCAGGGTGGCTGTCGTGCACTAGCACTTGCCCTGTGGTTACTGCCAGATTTGCTAATGCTTTGTCTACGTGGTGATTTCTTTCCAAGGAAAGGAACTAGTAGCTGGGCACGGTGGTGCAGGCTGTAATCCAGCAGCTCAGGGGGCTGAGACAGGAGGATCGAAAGTTCAAAGCCAGCCTCAGCAATGGCAAGGCCCCAAGCAAATCAGTGAGACCCTGTCTCTAAATAAAATATAAAAAAAGGGCTGGGGATGTGGCTCAGTGGTTAAGCACCCTGGGTTAAACCCCTGGTACCAAAGGGGAGGAGGGAAGGAAACAAGTAAACCATAGGTTTTTCATACTCTAGGTAATGTCAATGTTTGTACATAATTTTGTCTTTCTTATTTTTAACACAGTTTTGTAGCAGTGGAATATTCCTAATTTCTTGATTCTATTAATCTGATCTAATGTACAATACGTTCTTGAAATACCATTGATCCTAAAAGACCTATTTGGAACATGGAAAGTAATGAACTTTGGAGTAGGTATTCATCTTTAAATCAGAAAACAGAAGTAGTTTAGTTATAAAAAGAATATTGTTCCCATAGTTAATTTTACTTACAAATTTAAAAGAGCTTTTCTCTACAATATTTGATTAATTTATACTTTTTTAAAAAACAAATATTTACAAATATTTTCTTGTATTCCAAGTGGTTACACCAAATGCTGTAGATTCAACCATGGGAAAGACAAACAAAATTGCCATTCTTTTGAAACTTACCTCCTCRTATTGTGGTTTATATGATAGACAGTGAGTATATAAACAGATAAGGTAACAGGAGATGGCGACATTTACAGTGAAGGAAATGAACCAGGTGCAGCAGTGGAGTAGGAAGCCACCACYGCAGGGTGGTTTGGAAAGGACTTTTTGGAAAGGATATGTAGGTTGAGATCTGAATGATGAAATGAAACTGCCAGAGAAAGAACTTGACAAGAGCATTCCAGGCAGAGGAAGTAGAAAGCGCAAAGGCTCGGAGGGGAGGAAGCATATTTGAGAAGCAGCAAGTAGACCAGAGTGGCCACAGGGTAAGCAAGAAGTGGTCTGTAATGAGTTTGGACAGGCAGGTAGGACGCCCCTGGTCTAGGTAACAAGTCTAGAAATTCTAAGAATCCTGGAAAGCCACTGGAAGGTGTCWACTACACATGGTCACCTAAGATCTTTAACTTAAAAAAAATAGCCTCACCAGTTGTTATATGATGAATAGATTGAAGAGGGACCAGAGAGGCAGCAGAGAGACACTGGGAAGAGTCTGGTAGCAGGGTGATCCTCGATGGTGGCGTGGATTAAGGAGATGATGGCAGAGGAGAAATGGGTGCACTCCAGATAGAACCCACAGAACTTGCTTTATGAATTCAGGTGTTGGTATTAAGGGGGTTCAGTGTTTGGTAAAGAAAAGACTGATATTTATAGATTTTAGATTGTCTCATTACCAAGGAAACTTGGCTAAGGTATAATGAACAGTAGGTGGAAAGTACAGTGAATACCCAAGTAGTCATTACTGAGTTTAAGTAAAAGACCATTATAATTACCTTTGAAATTCCCGGGGTTCCTCTTTCTAGTCCCTCCTCTGAGCTACCATCATCTTTACTTTGATATTTTATCATTTTCTTGCTTTTCATTGTAGTTTTATAGTATATGTAAACAATATATTGTCAGTTCTTTGTTTTTGAGCTTTCTACATAAGAAACCAGATTGTATATATTCTTGCATAATTTTTGTCACTCAACATTATGTTTCTAAGATTCATGCAAGTTACAGTATGTTATTGTAATTTATTCATTTTCATTGCTGTATAGTATTCCATGATATTACTGTCCCACAATTTATCCTTTTGACCAATTGGCATTCAGACCAATGGTCCATTTGACCATTGTTTTTAGGTTCTTACTATCATTGGCAACTCTGCTAGTAACATTCTTAYGTATGTCTGGAGTGTATAACTATAAGTAGTATTATTGGTACATTATTTGCTAAATAATGCCAAACCGTTTCTTGAAGTAGTTATACCAATTTAAAGTCTGCTATAACAGAATACCAAAGATTGAGTGGCTTATAAACAACAGAAACTTATATTTCACAGTTCTGGAGGCTAGGAGGTCCAAGATCAGATTTGCAGATTTGTTAACAGGTGAGGATTTACTTCCTGACTCAGGATAGCCATCTGTGGCTGTGATATCTCATGGTAGAAGGTCAAGGGAGTTCTCTAAGGCCCCGTGTATAAGGGCGCTAATCTTATGTTGAGGGCTCTGCCTTCATGGCCTAATCCTTTCCCAAAAACTTCACCTCCAGATACCCTCACATTAGGGGTTATGTTTCAACATGTGAATTTTAGGGGCAGAAACACACAGTCCCACAGCACATCCTCATCAGCACCGTGTAGGAGTATCAGTCTGACGAATAGCTAATGTTCTAAGACCTTGAACTCTTGAAGTGATAGCTCCTGCTAGCCTTGGCTTTAATTTGTCTACTTCCTACAAAGGCAATGGTCTTTTCATTGGTTTGTTGGTGACTTGATATTCTTCTTGCATTAATTGCCTTTACAAGTCTTTTTTCTATTTTTTTCTAGTTTTCTTTTTGTCTTATTAGTTTGCAGATCTTCAAGTTGTAATCTTTTGGTAGCTATATATATCACAAATGTTTTCTCCTTGTGGCTCAAATTTTTGCACTCACTATGATGTGATACCTTGTAGTGATTAAGTTCTTAATTTTAATATGATCCTACTCATCAGTATTTTTCTTTATGTTTCATGTGCTAATGTTTAAGAAATTTCTTTCTATCCTGAGTCATAAAGAACATTCTTCTGTATTATCTTCCAGAAATGTATAGTTCTGCCTGTTGTGTCTGTTTTCAAGCCACTTGGAACTGATTTTGTGTAGAGTGTGAGTAGGATTCCAGTTTAATTTTTTAAACATATGGATAACTGGTGTCTCCACACCATTAATAAGTGCCTTCCTTCCCCACTGGTCTGCAGTGCCTGCCGTCAGCRGTGTTAATCATTTTAAGGAAACAGCTTTTGGCTATGACATGATAATGTGTTTRTTTTCTCTCTCATTATTTCCTGTCTTTGTGTTTACTTTGGATTGGATCTTCTTTCTTGTAATAACAATTTATTACATTAATTTTTGTTCTTTTGTTTATTCTTGCTTACTTTTATGGGGAGGTCATCCTGTTCTTCCAAATCCTCTGTTGTATGCTGAGTTCATTAATATCTGGGCTTTCTTTTTTTTTCTAAAATAATCTGTCTATAAATTTCCTTTAGAGGTATTACTTTGTGTTCCACAGCTTTTCTTTGTTTCCTCTGTTTTACTCCTTTCATTACTCCTTTATTTTGAAAACATTGTCATCTTTTCTTTGATTCATAAAATTTAGAATTATTTCTTAAAAATGTTGGTGTCTTTTGTACTGATTCATAATTTGATTGGGCTATGGATAAAGAATATAGGCTATATGACATCAATAAGTAATAGATTTTTCTTTTGTGTGAACAGTTGGGTGCCATTTAGTGAGGTAGAGAAGTTTGCAGGTGGGCAGAGAAGCAAGAATACTGTTTTGGAGATATTAATTTGCAATGCCTGGAAGAATCCTCACAGAGAGGCCATGCGGGCAGTTGGACTAGAGCTATATGTTAATTTTTAGATATGTAAACCCTATTTAATGTTTAAGGCGTGTTTGTGATTCTTGAATATATTTCTCTAATTAAGAATAATTTTTCGTAGTTGCAGAAGACCCTGCAAAGTCACTAACAGAGTTATCTTCAGAATTTGGACATTCGTCACCGCCGCTGCAGGCTCCTTCCATGAACTCCTTATCCAGTGAGAACAGATTTCACTCTCTACCATTCAGCCTGACAAAGGTGCCTAATTCCAATGGGAGCATTGGTCACAGCCCGCTTTCTTTGTCAGTTCAGTCTGTGATGGGGGAGCTGAACAGCGCGCCTGTCCAGGAGAGCCCGCCCTTGCCCATGTCTTCTGGCAACTCCCACGGTCTAGAGGTGGGCTCGCTGGCTGAAGTCAAGGAGAACCCTCCTTTCTACGGCGTCATTCGTTGGATCGGTCAGCCCCCAGGACTGAATGAAGTACTAGCTGGACTGGAACTGGTAATTTAATTTGATCTAAAAATTATAATTCTTTTCTAAATGGGGTTTTGTGCAGAATATTTCCTATTATATATTTCTTGGCAAATCATCGTGTATGTCCAAAAATTTGGAGAAAAATTTCATGATGTGTTGCCTGAATTCTTTTTGCCGCTCCTTAGGCTTCTGCCTCGCCTGTTTCTAATGTTAGTTGATCCATGTCCAAAAAAATAAGAATTGCGTTTTAGGTTAATGTATTTAGGCTTCTTATATTGAGTAGAATGCAATAAGGGAAGCAAATTGTTAATTGTCACCAGCTTTTACTTTTCTTGTTTCGCCTTGTTCCCTATAAAGCTAAATCATTGGCCTTAGAACTAACCATCGTTTTCTCAGGTCTTTTGGTATCCTTAGTAGAGGGAAAGATTTTCCTTTTGGAGAGTAGGAAAGCCTGTTTGGCCTTGCACAATCAGGAGAGGGGAATTTGAATACATTTAGCTTTTATTAAAATGTATCTCTTGGTTTGTTTGCTTATTTGTTTGTTTTCATGCTAATGAGCACTATTAGAGGAGTACTTAACATAATTGGCCTCCTCTTYTCCCTCTGTGTGTGTATTTAGCATTGCTGGGGATTGAACCCAGGGCCTTCCTTACCTGTACCAGGCAAGTACCTAACCCCTGAGCTACACCCGAGTTCATTCCTTGGTTTTAATACTTGTGGAAATAGTACAAAGAAAGTCAGGTAACCAGGGAAGGCCTAGGCAGGTGTTCTGAAAGGGAATCACTGAGGAGTTCCTGTTAGGTTAAGGAATTCATTAGCTAAAGGCTCGATGCTTTGATTCCGMAACCCGCAACCCCTTTTTCTTGATGCAGTTTGCAGTACACGTGGAGAGGGAATTCGGAGAAAGGGTCACTAGGAGCAGCTGCGGGCGCCTTAGTTCTGTGTGTCTGTCTTCACGGCGTGGTGTAATGCATGTGGAAGCCTTTCTTTTCCAGGAAGATGAATGCGCAGGCTGTACAGATGGAACCTTTAGGGGCACTCGGTATTTCACCTGTGCCCTGAAGAAGGCGCTGTTTGTTAAACTGAAGAGCTGCAGGCCTGACTCGAGGTTCGCGTCCCTGCAGCCTGTTTCCAATCAGATAGAGCGCTGTAACTCTTTAGGTATCGGATGCTTTTCATTTACTTACCAATTTGGAATGACTTCATTTCATACCATTTTGTATTAGGTGACAGTGTCAGTGTCTAAGTGATTTTCATGCCAATTGCTCATCAAGCTTTCAAACCAGTAAAGATTGTTACTTGATATATCTGAAAGTTAGTTAGCCTAGAAGAGCCATTTTAAAAAGTGTTAGAATAGTGTCTTGGATCTAAAAGGTGGGAGTAGGGGGATTTGTTTTTTCTTCTTTTTGATTACAGATGTTTACTTTTCAGCAATACAGGGGCTAGGAATTGAAATGTGTTCCTCTTTTTTGGCATCAACTTCCCCTATAATCTATTGGTTAAGTATATCAGTCAGCATGTCTTATCAAGAAATCAGTGTTTGTCTAAGTAGTTTTAGATTAAGGCTGAAGGAGAGCTRTTCTCATCACTTGGAAAAGGTGGTGGCTTCCTGATGCTATCCCTTCCCACTTCTGAATAACWGTGGTGCAGCAAAGAGTAGGTGTAAATACGAAGGTGTAATAGGAAGGCCATTTTAATGAAGCATGTTTTTCTTACYGTTGAAAGAGTACTTTATATTTTTTTTGTTTTCTTTTTGGGCTTGGAAATATGAGACATTGTGGATAAATAATAAAGTATTTTAGGAGCAAAATATTTTGCTTGACAGATGCTTTTTACATGTTACTTAATGCTTAAAGTGCTTTTCAAATTGTGGGGGAATCGAGTTTGAAAATGAACAATAGTGTTGTTTTACATGCCAAGTTGAATTGATTAATGAAAGTTGATAAACAAATGTTTTTTATCAAAATACCAAAATATATTTTTAAAATGAAGACACAGTTTGAAAGTTTCTTTTTAATGGTTTAAAAGAATTCTTTTCATGTTTTTATCTTTTCAGCCTTTGGAGGCTACTTAAGTGAAGTGGTAGAAGAAAATACTCCACCAAAAATGGAAAAAGAAGGTTTGGAGATAATGATTGGAAAGAAGAAAGGTATCCAGGGCCATTACAATTCTTGTTACTTAGACTCAACCTTATTCTGGTAAGTTTAAAATGAATGCCGTAGGTATAGAGTGTGTGTGTGTGTGTGTGTGTGTGTGAGAGAGAGAGAGAGAGAGAGAGAGAGAGAGAGAGAGAGAGAGAGGGAGAGAGAGAGAAAGAGAGAGAGAGAGAGAGAGGGGCTGCCAGCTACCTGAGTGGAGACACTAGGGACTGGGGGTTAGGAGAGGAAGGGAGTTTGCTTTCCGTAATACACTTCTTGAAGCTACGGAGTGTTGTCACCTGTTCCTATATCCACCACATTAATATGAAAAGTAAGGCAGGGAACAATGAGCCAGAGCTGGATGACAGTGACGCACATGGAGCAGATATGTACCCAGGGCAGCTGGAGCGAGTAGGCACGGTGTCTTTGAACATGAATCAAATAACATGACTTGCAGTAAGCTCTTGGTCCATGTGTTCTGTCTTTGTTTTAGTAGGTAGAAGGAATCTTTAAACTGCTTTCTTTAAAAAAAAAAAAATTATGTCCCATAGAAGCCCTGTTGCTCCTATATATGTAGTTTTTTCCCAAAGTGGAACAACTTAGCATGGCAAGAATCATTAGACTCTGAAGACTGAACCAGGAGTCTCTAGGCCCTAAGGACCTTGCATTGCCAGTTCAATCAATTGTATAGAATCAGGGAGTTCACATGACATGTTAAAATTCTAAAAGTAGGAAAAAGAAAAAAGATGGTAGGCCATTGTGATGATAGAGTACTTTCAACTCACAGATGTTTTGTCAGGAGCAAACCTTATGGCATTGAGATAACATTCATTAGATTTCTTGATAAAAATCTATATTAGACAAGTTTTGTTTTCTTTGAAACCAGGAAATTTCTGTTGTTACTTGTCGAATTCCTTGCAACTGAAACACTCAGGGTCACTCTAAGGGAACTGGGCTGCATGAAATAACCACACAAGAGACAGAGATACCTTTTTCTTTGKGTTCCTGTGATGGCCCCTCTGACCTTAAGGGTCCACAGAAAGAGAGAGAGCATGAGCGCGCGCTGACCCCTTTTATTGAGGAGAAGCCATTCGAATGAGGCAAGGGGCCAGGTTTCAGTGGGAGGCTGAGTCTAGCTTCCTGATGTCTGTTGTCAGCAGGTTGACTGACATCTGGGAAAGCCACACCCAAAGACAGAGCAAGAGAAGGGGACACACAACGGGCGTTTCCATGGAACATTCTATTCCAAACAGGGCCAAGGAGTAATATCATAAAGGAACAGGTGAGCGTATGTAGCTCAATCCATGGGGCAACACGCCTGTGTCCGAAGATGGTCCTCAGACTTCCAGGACCAGGGCAATATCCAGGTCACTATGAGATGTAGTGAGGGTCAGAGCCTCTCCGGCTCAGGGAAGGAGAATGTGAATCATTCAGGCTGGATCCCACAGTTACTCACTCACAAGTGATTTTAAGGGAATTTAGGTATTCGCAAAGTGGCAAAAGGGAGATAATGTTTGGGATAGAATGTTCCATGGAAACATTGCCCGTTGTGTGTCCCCTTCTCTTGCTCTGTCTTTGGGGGTGGCCTTCCTAGAAGTCCGTCAACCTGTGACAGCAGACATCAGGAAGGTACACTCACCCCCTGAAACCTGACCCTCTGCCTCATTTGAGTATCGCACTGAGTTGCTTTTGCTTTGAGAAGTAGTTTCCAAACGTCCTCCTGTGTTGTCTATTGTGGTGTGACTCAGATTTGTAGACCCCCTTTTAACTTTTGCAAAGAAGTTTTTTCATCATATTTTTATCCTTTAACACTATCAATCTATAGTTTGCCTTCTTGGCTTTACTGTTCTTAACCTGAACGAATCTGAAGACCTGAAGATGGGACCTGGGGGGTCTTCACAGGGCTCTTGGTTGCCCATGTTCATGAAGAACGTAATGTTTATGCTCTTTGTTCTCTTAGACTTTGCTTCTTTTCCTTTTGTGATTCTCTTTAGAATCTATTTCTTGAAAAATGATCAGTTTATATCATGAGGGAAAATAATGATTTTATTTTGCAGCTTATTTGCTTTTAGTTCTGTTCTGGATACTGTGTTACTTAGACCCAAAGAAAAGAGTGATGTAGAATATTAYAGTGAAACTCAAGAGCTGCTGAGGACAGAAATAGTTAATCCTCTGAGAATGTAAGTACAAGGAAGATTTTTTTGCCTTTAGATGGTATTCTGTTTGCTGTTATCCTATCTAGTAGTAAATTTATGTCCTGCTTTCCTGTAATAAGAAATGGGAAAAAATTAGTTGTCATGGTGAAATACTGATTTTATTTTAGGCTTTGTTCTTTGTATTTCCATTGCTTATTTAATTTCTTAAGTCTGACCAATGCATAGAACATAGTGTATTCCTTGAAATGCTTTGAACCATTTTAGTGGAGTAGGCAATAAGTTGGCAATTGCAGTAGGTACAGAAAACTGATACATAGCATTTGGGTTTCTTATCTTTTGAAACAGTTTATTCCAACAGTACTACTAATAATAATCATACTAGTTAGCAAACTGGTACAGTATGGCTTCTTAATTTATATCAAAGAAAAAAGTAGGGAAAATTTTTATTTATAGAATAGCTACTATTCAATATTTCTGTATTAGAAACAGGTGAGATGTATTTTAGTAGCATGTTTTATTTTGAGGAATATATTTAGGCCTCTTTCCATCTAATTTTAATCAGGTGCTTAATCAGGTGATTCTTTTTTCATTCCTGGTTTAGAAATTAGAATGGATTTTTTTTTTTTTTTTTTTTTTGCTTTTGGGCACAGGAAGCAATTTGAACTAATCTATTCGCAAGTGACAGAACACCATTTAGTAAAGATTTTTGATAAGAGGTAATAGAGAGATAGGATAATGTCACATTATAAAATTTAAACTCTGAAGAATTAGGCCATGAATCATAAAACAAATTTGGAAGTACAGAGAGAAAAGTATGTAATTTAAGTTCTGTATTAAGACTAATTAAAAATTTGTGACATATTTTTCCATTAAAACAAAATATAGTTTAATATTTTGACCCAAAAAAGAAAAAAAATAATACTGAAATACAATGAGTGTTCCAGTGACCTACTATATTTTATGACTGGGAAAGTTAATTATAAGAGAATAAATTATTCCATTTATGTCTTTTGTTTTCTTTAAATTCTGTAATGAATTTTATAATTGTCTTATCCTTTAAGATGAGTATGAATCTTGATTTTCACATTAATTTTTTGTCTTATGCCAACTTAGTTCTCTATTTCTTACTCCCAGGTAATTGATACTAGAACAACATAGGTCAAATTCAAAATTCTTTAAACATATTGCCACTTCTTCCTTTACAAAACATCATAAGTCCATTAATAAACATTTTTTGTATACTATTGTCCACCCAGTTAGAGTCATAGTTTATGACGCTCTAATCCCATCCACTTCAAAAAGCTTGTCAGGTGACCTTTTGTGGTCAAGAGTCCCTGTGTTTGCATCTCTATTTTAGCTAACTGGTTTTTTGATAATAAAACCCTGCTCTCAAAAGCAGAGACCCTATCTTTTCAACCTTTCCCCTTCTCCCAGGGGCTAATCCCTTGGGTGACTGTGTAAGTGGTAGCCGCTCAGTGTATGTTGATTGCAGAGAACTAATGAGTAAATATAAAACAGTATAAAAATGAATATAAGATTGGCTGGTTCTGACTTGTGTTAAGCCCATGGTGGAGTTTTGTCAAGGATCTCATTGATTTTATCCTGTAGTCAGACAAGATGAAAGAAAATGGTGTAATGGTGACGATTGGTTTGATTATAGATTTTAGTTTCAATACCTCATCAATTCCCTCTCTCATTTCCTTTGGAAGTTGTTTCTTCTTTAGTATTAAAAGGATCTTCTCTCTCAAAATAATATATTCTGTTTTATAATGTAAATTTTTAAAAATTTTTAGGCAAATATTATTTAAAAATCCATTATCCCAAACTTTTAACATTATTTTTTTCTTTTATTAGTATTTAACAATCAGTTTTAAAGTATATTTGGGATAATTCTAGTTCTAGTTCTGTAATTTTTCATTCTTTAATCAAAGCTTATATTTGTGTTCTTCAAAATCATTGCCTCGTCTATTAATTCATGACATACTGGAGTTGTTATAAGAAATGTCTCATTATTAAGACATGTTGAATAATTTACTATATAAGCCCATGTCAGCAATTAATAGTTTTTTCCTAACATAGATATGGATATGTATGTGCCACAAAAATTATGAAACTGAGGAAAATACTTGAAAAAGTTGAGGCTGCATCAGGATTTACCTCTGAAGAAAAAGGTGACCACCTTAATTTATACTATATGCATTGAAAATGACTCAAAAAGATATGAATATGCTAATTGCTARCTGAAACATTGTTTGTGTGGTGTCGGGTATAGTTTTAGCTTAGAATTTGTGGGGAGCAGAGCTGGGCATATGGCTCAGGGGTAGCATACTTATCCAGCATGCAAGAGGCCCTGGGCTCTATCCTGTCCCCACCACTGAAAAATTAGAGTTTTGTCAAGGATTTCTTTGAGCTCATTACAATGCAAACAAGATAAACAAAAAGGAATTGTTTTTCTATGTGACACACAATTTTCTCCATGTTTTATTAATTAATCTTTTCTTCTACAAGTGAAGAATGATGTGGAAGAATGAACCCCTTTAAGAAGCTGGCTGGTTCTAGTGTATTAAATGAATAGATGCAAGAAAGAGTTCTTTTCTTTCCCCCAGCCCTGACCTCTGAGTCACTTCTCTCCTGTGGGGAAGGGTGCAGTGAGTCGTCTATGTGCACCATTGGTTTTCCTTGTAAATAGAAGGTAYAAAATGGCCTTATAGGTACAAATATACATATGTACATATGTTTATGGTCAGTATTTTATTCTGTTCATAGCTAATGGATTTTCTCAAAGATTTAACTTCTGACTTTGACCTTATTAGCAATGTACTTGTAACCAGCTATAATGTTTGGAGGCTGATAGTTATTTAACCAGCAGGAAAAAGAGGGCACACTTCAGGTTTTATTCTATTTAATCTTAAACCCTCCAAACCAAAAATTATTTCACTGTATATAAATGATTATATCCTTTCAAATATAATAAAATTATATCAAAATTGAAATATAATACTTTACTATAGCCTTCAAATTTTGTTTGTATTTTTTCCTTTGTCAGGAAAAATTAAAAACTATGAGTTTAATTGGAATACTACTGAATGAACAAAATCGAATTCAGTATAGAAATATGGTTGTAATAAGTAAAGAATAAAAGGATTTTAGCATTTTGTCTGTGACTTATTTGATTCTTATTTTCTCCTAGATCCTGAAGAATTCTTAAATATCCTGTTTCATCATATTTTAAGAGTAGAACCATTACTAAAAATAAGGTAACTTTTAAATTATGATAGAAGTATTGTTTAGGGCTCTTAATCCTGTGAGGCAGGTACACACGCAAATGCATCTTAATCATTGTTCTCTCTGTCGTGCCAGACTTGACTTAAGAACAAATCCAGTGGCAGCTTATGTCTTTAACCCACAAAATAAAAATCACTTCATTTTCTTACAAAACTATAAATGAATGTTTTTGTAATTTCAGTTAATGAACCTTGTAAGATGATCTCATTCTAACTTAGTCAAATACTGGAAGAACATTGCTTTTGGCCACCCACCAGTCAGCCACCAGTCGGCTCCTGTGTCCTCAGTTTTTTAAAATGGTCTTTTCCTTCCCCACAAGTTGAAGGACACCTCAAATTTAATGCCTTGAAGTTCTTAGTGTTCTAGGTGGCTGGACTTCCCAGGTAGTTTGAGTGTCCRAGTCTAAATGGGGGACAGCTTTCCATTTTGGCCTGGGTTTCTCTGTGAAAATGCTGGTAGTGTACTATCCTCTTCCTTAAAAGCTGATCATAGGCAAACACTCTTACYTCTGTGCCTTGAGTGATGTTGTTTGATGCCAGTGTGGAGCTGATGGGTGAGAAGGAAGAAAGAGGGGAGTGCCACAATTATAATCATGATGGTGTTTGGGAAGTTCTAAGAAATGAAATAAGACATGATACAAAAGCATCAGGTACCCATTTATTACCTGGACAAGCATAATATAGTCACGTGTACATCTAGAAAATCCTGGAAAATTGTCTAGAAATTGTTAGAATTAACAAAAGAGTTTGTAATTTAGCCATGTAAAAATAACCATGGAAAAATCAATCGCATTTTTATATACCTGCAAGCCCAAAGGAAAAAGGGACAATTTCATGCTTAATGAAGGTAAAATATTAAGCAACCAATTTTCTTGAGATGGATTTTTAAAAAGACTTAAACAGAGCTGAAAGGTAATTTAATTAGTGAGAAAGACTGTTTTTTAAGTAGGAAAATTAAATAACTTGAAGATGCTAATTTTTTTGTTTGGTACCAGGGATTGAACTCAGGGGCACTCCATCACCGAGCCATATCCCCAGCCTTATTTTTGTATTTTTATTTAGAGACAGGGTCTCACTGAGTTGCTGAGCACYTTGTGGTTGCTGAGGTTGACTCTGAACTTGCAGTCCTCCTGCCTCAGCCTCCCAAGCTGTTGGGATTACAGGTGTATACCACCACACCCAGCTAAAGATGCTAATTTTTATAACATAGTTTTCACATAAGCAGGACTTAGCCTTTTTTCTTAACTGAAGAAGGTGATTTTAGAGTTCTCTATCAAGTGAAGTGGGAAAAATATTGAATAATTCTTTTATTTAAAAAGYCCTATTATAAGCTTAAAAAGGCAAAGCAATAGACACTAAAATAGTATGTGATACTGGTATAACATTAGAATTATCAATCAATAGAACTGGACGGAAAGCTCAGTAGTATTCCAGTATCTTGGAAATCATCCTTCAAACACAAATGAGGAAAGAAAGATATACACAATGCAGGGCATCTGGCGGGCAGTCGCGGAGAAGAAGGTCAGTTTTGTTTTTCATCTCTTAAAGAAATAAATTCCAGATTCTATAAACAGTTGTTTTTTTTCCTTTTATTTCCCTAACCCAGCACACCTAAATGGTGTCATGCCTCCTGTGTGAGCTAGGTGGAGATCTGCAGCGGCTCTCAGGGAGCGAGGAAGGGCCAGACCCTGGTGGAGTCGGAGGCCTTGGAGTCTGGAGAGAGCTGGGGAGCCCTCCACCCCCTGAGGGCTCACTGATCCCCACCCCTAGGCAACCTCTGTTATTGCAAGTCACTGTTTAAAGACAATAAAAGGATATTTTAAGTTAGTACTTTTTCCCCAAATGTCATTTTTCTCCTGAACTCATCTCTTTCTGCCTGAGGGAGAATCAGTGGAGCAGCAACAAGAGGACCTTACAAACCAGAGTAATAAATAGTCCAATGGAGAGCTAGCTATTAGACAGTTTTAAATGATTGAGGAGACAGAAGAGGGACTAGATACCAATGGAGGTTAAAAGATATGATCAACAGCATCAAAAGATCAACAGAAGCAAATAGGCAAGAGTGGAATTACCAGAAATAGGAAATACGTCCTGGGTGGAGGAAGGACCTCACCAGGGGTAGTGCACCCTGAGCACAGAGTCAGAGAACAAGGAGCGGACGAGCCATGAGGAGGGTACAMCCTCACACAGAGAGGGGACAGGGAAGGAGCAGCGTGCAGGAGACCTTCAGAACTTCTGACAGACTTAAATTCTAAGAATAAAGATGTACAGAATTCTTTAAGAAGCAGGAGTAAATTACCACTGAGAGACTTATTACAACAAGTACTTTAGAAAGACAGACTGGATCTAGAATGAAAGAGTGGGATTCAAGAAACACGGAAGAATCAAGAAATTGGTAAACTTGGGTAAATTAACTTTCACATTTAAAAAATAGTGACATTGCTGTAATAACAGTGACTAATTAACTGCATGTGCAGCATGAAGGTAGAGCTCAGTCATGGCCACTGAATGAGAAGGTGGTAATCAGAGGCAGGCAGAGCAGAGCAGAGCAAAACAGAGAAAAAACAAGCGGGACAGCATCCTCCATCAGGAAGCAAACGGGAGTTTTCTATTCAATGCCGAGTCCTTCTCATTATAGAAGGTGGTCTGAGTATTCCTTGAGGATGTCTGTGGGGTAACCCAGGACTGAAGGGAACGTTAGTGGCTACCCATTATAGTCTGTGTGGCAACGGTAGATAGACCAAAAAATATCTGAGTCCACGAGTCTTCTCATGTCCTCATCGATGTCCAATTTCTTTTGAAGTGGACCCATTTATACCCTTTCTGCCCTTGGGTTTTCCTTAGTGGAGAATAGTTCTAGGTTCAGAGTTGGCTGCAGTCATATAAACCTTGTCGTGATTCCTTAGGGTTTTAGCCTTCCAAAACCTAAGGAGTGAGGTTCGCATCCCATTCTTCTGCCCCATGTCACAGAGCCCTGTGCTTTCTACTTCTGGATTTTTGTTTTTTTCTCTGTGTTTGCAAGTCAGTGCTCCCTTAAATACCTCTCCTTCCCTGTCACCATCATTATTTCTACTTCTTTTGTCTTTTTAAATCTTCATTTGTTCTTTTTAGTTATACATGATAGTGGAATGTATTTTGATATATCATGCATATATGGAGTACAATTGCCCATTTTTGTGATTGTACATGATGTGTATTAATATATGAACATAGGAAAGTTATGTCTGATTCATTCTACTATCTTTCCCATTCCCCCCACTCCAATCTGATGCACACCCCCGCCCCACCCTGCCACCTATTGTGAGTCAGCATCCACATGTCAGAGAGAACATTCAGCCTGGATTTTTAGGATTGTGTTATTTCACTTAGCATGATTGTTTCTAGTTCCATCCATTTAATGGCAAATACCATAATTTCATTCTTCTTTATGGCTGAGTAATATTCCATTGTGTATATGTACCATATTTTCTTTATCCATTCATCTGTTGAATGGCACCTAAGTTGGTTTCATAGCTTAGTTCTTATGAATTGAGCTGCTAGGTGCATTGATGTGGCCACATCACTGTAGTATTGCTAATTTTAAGTCCTTTGGTTATATGCCAAGGAGTGGGATAACTGGGTCAAATAGTGGTTCCATATCAAGTTTTCTGAGGAATCTCCATACTGCTTTCCAGAGAGGTTGTACCAATTTGCAGTCCCACCAGCAATGTATGAATATACCTTTTTCTCCACATCCTCGTCAATATTTATTGTTACTTGTGTTCTTGATAATTGTCATTCAGACTGAAGTGAGATGAAATCTCAATGCAGTTTTAATTTGCATTTCTCCAATTATCAGTGATGTTGAACTTTTTTATATATTTTATATACATTTGTATTTCTTCTTCTGTGAAGTATCTGTTCAGTTCCTTTGCCCATTTATTGATTTGGGTTGTTTTGTGTGTGTGTGTGTGTGTGTGTGTGTTAAGTTTTTTGAGTTCTTTGTATAATCTGGAGATTAATGCTGTATCTGAGGTGTGGGGGTGGCAAAGATTTTCTCCCATTCTATAGGCTCTCTGTTCGAGTTCTTGATTGTTTTCTTTGCTGTGAAGAAGCTTTTTAGTTTGATACCACCCCATTTATTGATTCTGGGATTTTACTTCTTCCACTTTAGAAGTCTTGTTAAGGAACTTGGTTCCTAAGCTGACATGACAGAGGTTTGGGCCTACTTTTTCTTCTAGTAGTTGCAGGATCTCTGGTCTAATGCGTAGGTCCTTGATGTCCTTTGAGTTGAGTTTTGGCAGGGTGAGAGCTAGGGGTCTAATTTCATTTTGTTACATATGAATTTCCAGTTTTCCCAGCACCATTTGTTGAAGAGGCTATCCTTTCTCCAGTGTATGTTTATGGTGCCTTTGTGTAGTATGAGATAACTGTATTTATGTGGGTTTGTCTTCTGTTCTGTGTGTCTTCTGTACCATTGCTCTTCATGTCTGTTTTGGTGCCAATACCATGTCATTTTTGTTATTGTAGCTTTGTAGTATATTTAAGGTTGGTATTATGATGCCTCCTGCTTCACTTTTCTCACTGAGGATTGCTTTGGCTATTCTGGGCCTCTTATTTTTCCAAGTGAATTTCTTGATTGCTTTTTCTATTTCTATGAAGAACATCATTGGAATAGAAATTGCATCAAACCTGTTTAGTGCTTTTGGTAGTATGGCCATTTTGACAATATTAATTCTGCCTATCCAAAACCATGGAGATCTTTCTGTCTTCTAAGGTCTTCTTCAAATTCTTTCTTAGATTTATGTAGTTTTTGTTGTAGAGGTCTTACTTTTTTTTGGACATATGTGAGAGAATCATGTGATTTTGTCTTTAAGTCTATTGATGTGATGAATTACATTTATTGATTTCCATATGTTAAACCAATCTTGCATTCCTGGGATGAACCCCACTTGATCATGGTGCACTATTTTTTGATTATGTTTTTGTATGCAATTTGCCACATTTTATTAAGAATTTTTGTGTCTATGTCCATTAGGGATATTGGTCTGACGTTTTCTTTTCTTGATGTGTCTTTGTTTTTTGTATAAGGGTGATGCTACCTTCATAGAATGAGTTTAGAAGGGTTTCTTTCTTTTCTATTTCATGGAATAATTTGAGGAGGATTGGTGGTAATTCTTCATTGAAGGTCTGGTAGAGAATCTGGTCCTGAGCTTTTGTGGTAGGCTTTTGATGGCATCTTTAATTTTATTGCTTGAAATTGATCTGTTTAAATTTTCTATGTTCTCCTAATTCAATTTAGGTAAGTCATATGTCTCCAGAAATTTGTTGATGTCTTCAAGGTTTTCTATTTAGAGTATAAATTTTCAAAATAATTTTTGATTATCATCTGTATTTCAGTTTTATCCATTGTGATATTTCCTTTTTCATAATGAATTTTAGTAATTTGAGTTTTTTCTTTCTCTTTTTTAGCGTGGCTAAGGGTTTATCAATGTTATTTATTTTTTTCAAAGAACCAGCTTTTTTATTCTAATTTGTTACATATGACAACAGAATGCATTACAGTTCACATTACACATACAGAGCACAATTTTTCATATCTCTGGTTGTATACAAAGTATATTCACACCATTCGTATCTTCGTACATGTACTTAGGGTAATGATGTCCATCTCGTCCCACCAAAAGAACCAACTTTTTGTTCATCAATTTTTTGTATTGTTTCTTTTGTTTCAATTTCATTGATTTCCTTTTTTCTACTGCTTTTGTATGATTTGTTCTTCTTTTTCTAGGACTTTGAGATGTAATGTTAGGTTATTTATTTGTTGACTTTCTATTGTTTTAATGAATGAACTCAATGCAGTGAACTTCCCTCGTAGCACTGCCTCCATGGTGTCCCAGAGATTTTGATATTGCTATCCTCATTTACCTCTAAGTATTTTTTAATTTCATCCCTGATTTATTCTGCTATCCATTGGTCATTCAATAGCATCCTATTTATTCTCCAGGTGTTAGAGTAGCTTCTATTTTTAATTTTACCACTGATTTCTAATTTCATTCCATTATGATTGATAGAATGCAAGGTATTATCTCTGGGGTTTTTTTTTTTGTATTTTTTAAGAGTTGCTTTGTGGTCTCTTTTAGAGAAGGATCTGTTTGCTGCTGAGAAGAAAGTGAATTCAGTTATTCATTGATGAAATATTAAAAATATGTCTGTTAAGTATAAATTATTAATTGTATTTTTTATTCTATAGCTGCTTATTTAGTTTTTGTTTAGAGGATCTATTCAGTGGAGAGGGGTGTGTTAAAGTCACCCAGTATTATTATGTTATGGTCTGTTTGATTCTTGACATTGAGAAGGGTTTGTTTGATGTACATGGATGCTCCATTATATGCAGGAATAAATATTTATGCTTGTTATGTCTTGTTGGTATATAATTCCCTTAATCAGTATGAAATGTCTTTCTTTGTTCCTTCTGATTAACTTTGGCTTGAAATCTGCTTTATGTAATATCAGGATAGAAAGCCCTGCTTACTTATGGGATCTATGTGAATGATATGTTTTTTCCTAACCTTTTATCTTCAGTCTGGGGATGTCTTTGCCTATGAGGTAAGTCTCTTGGAAACAGCATATTGTTGGGACTTGTTTTTTTAATCCAGTTTGCCAGTCTGTGTCTTTTGATGGATGAGTTTAGGCCATTTACATTCAATGTTATTATTGAGAAATTATTTTTATTCCCTGTCATTTTGATATATTTCTGGTTTTTAATTTGAATTAGTTTTTCCTTTAATTGACTATGCTTCTATTGTATCCTCCCTTAGCTGCTTTTCACTTTTGTTTTTAATATCTTCTTTATGAAAAATTGAGTACATTTTATAGAGCAGGCTTTCTAATGGTGAATTCTTTTAACTTTTGTTTATCATGGAAAGTTTTTATTTCATTGCAAATTCTGAAGCTTAATTTTGCTGGGTATAATATTCTTGGCATCCATTTTCTTTCAGAGCTTGATATATATTATTCCAAGACCTCTTAGCTTTGAGGGTCTGGATTGAAAAATAAACTGAGATCTGGATCAGTTTCCCTCTAAACATGACTTGTCATTTTTCCCTGGCAGCCTTTAAAATTCTATCCTTATTCTGTGTATTAGGATTTTTTTCTGTTGTAATTTTGTATATTTGTGGTCCTATAAGCCTGACTGGAGCAGCAGCAGCTGTGATGCTGGAAATTACTTCCTTATTTTATTATATCCAATCTCCGGACTCCCCAATCTGCTTTGAATGTCCAGTATTAAAGTCCGTAAACCACCCCCCCCACCACCCTTTGTTTTTCATTCACCCACCCTGCCAAGAAACTGCCTGTCTGCTTAGTTTCACACCATSGAATAGCCAGGAGAGTAACCTTCTCTATCCTACTATCTTGAAACTCCCATTTCGACTTCTTTTAACTACTCACCTCCACTACTTTCAACTTTTTTAGTTTCTTGTCTTATTTTTTTCCCTGTTTGCTATTTTTCCATGATTTTTGACTTTCACAGGAAAAAAATCCTGGCTTTTTGTAGCCATCAACAACCAATTAAAATGTTGGTACAGCATAACTGTCAAGTTTTCAAGTTATCATCTATTCTTATTATTGTGGATTCTCAAAAATCTTCTGCCTTGTTACCAGACAAATTGTGTTTATTTGGGGACCTAATTTGTTTTGGGAAATGGAAGATTTCCTTGTTTATTTTTTCTTTCAGTATTGGGGATTGAACCCAGGGTGCACTATCACTGAGCAACATCTAAAGCCCTTTTTGTTTTTATTTTGAGACAGAGTCTCACCAAGTTGCTGATGCTAGTCTCGAACTTGTGATCCTCCTACCCTAGCCTCCTCGGTTGATGGGATTATAGGCATGTGCTGCCACTTCCCACTGGAAGTGGAAGGTTTCTGCAGGCTGGTCTCTGAATTGCTGATGTTTTATTATGAAGACTATGTTAATATTTTTTCTTAAAATTTTTGAAATCTAGATATATGTATCTTGAAAAAAATAGTCTTACTCTAAACTCAGAAATTCTTTAAAAAAGTTAATAGTAAACTTAAAGATTATTAATCCTTTTGATAGAGTTAGTCTTACAGATTAATGGCATTCTGTAGTAAAATATTTAGAAGGGAAAATGCTCAATATAAGGGTTCCTCTGTGGTTGGCATATTGCATGTTCTTACTTGGCATTTACTGAATAAATGAGTGACCCTCTAAAGAGTCAGCCTGCTCTAGCAGAAAGAATGTGATAAATAGTTGCTAGCACCCCTGGGTTCCATACCTTGATCTGCTGGTAAGTTAATATTCTTATCTATTAAAAAAAAAGAAAAAGAAAAAGTTAAGTTTTGTCTAGAAGGTCTTCTAAGAGTCTGTCTTAGATACGAAAGAATTTATTGTCTTGTTTTAAGCATTAAGTGTAGTTTGCTGAATGCTGAATTTGGATGGTAAACTAAATGATTTTAGCTTCTGGCTATTGTTCACACAGTGTTTCTTGACTGGCGATGTTATTTCATGATTTTCTCTTGGTCATCAAGAGAACTTTTGAATATAAAATTAAGACAAGAAATCATTTAAAGGTCTGCTGCATTATTACATTTAGGTCAACCGAGTTGCTGTCTTTTCCTCTGTTGTCAGGACTACGCAAAGCCATACCATCCCTTTCACATTCTTTTGTTCTTAAATCCTATTGGAATGAATTTACATTCTGATTTAAGCATTTAATAATAAAGTACATATTTACTCTGATTTAAGCATTTAATAATAAAGTACATATTTTTTTCTGTGTGCTTTTAGATCAGCCGGTCAAAAAGTACAAGATTGTTACTTCTATCAAATTTTTATGGAAAAAAATGAGAAAGTTGGTGTTCCTACAATACAGCAATTGTTAGAATGGTCTTTTATCAACAGTAACCTGAAATTTGCAGAGGTTAGTAACACCCACTCACTGTGTTTTATGTGATGGATTCTTAAGACTACTGGTAGATTCAATGTCTATGATTTTAACCAAGAATAGTTTGAAACACACTTTGTTAAAAAAGCACAAATTTGGTTGGGGATGTGGCTCAAGTGGTAGCACGCTCGTCTGGCATGCGTGCGGCCCGGGTTCGATCCTCAGCACCACATACCAACAAAGATGTTGTGTCTGCCGATAACGAAAAAAATAAATAAATAAATGTTAAAAAAAAAGGCACAAATTAAAAAATGTACATTATTTCAACTTTGTCCTTATAGAAAATTCTTTAGACTAAAGATTGAACTTTTTAGATTTTTGTTGCCAAAGAAAACATGATGCTGATTTGTAACTTGAATACTTTTTATATAGTTTAATGCAAAGAAACATTGATTTTTAAAAAATAATTGTCATTTTACCTGAGCATATTATTCAATTATATTWAAAAAGGGAATATTTATTTTCTCTACATTAAGAGGCAGTGTCAACAAATTCATTTACGTTGGGTTGTTAATGAACAAGTGATAAAAATCAGTTTTTTTTTTTTACTATGAGTATTCTTATGATGTTAGTAGTGTGTGCTTATGGCTTATTTTTTATTGTATTCATCTCTGAACAGATGTTTTGATTAAATCTTAATAGCCATAGGTATTTATTTTTAAGGAATCTCATCCTTCTGAAGACTGTTTCTGTATTATATTTGAAAGAAAAAAAAAAAACCTCTTTCTCTAAAACTTTGATTAAATATGAACCTAGAGTTAAATGGCACTATAGTCACTGTATTATTTGGCACCTGAGRTTGTTGCTCCCTGACCTCTTGGAGTGGGTGTGTCTTGTGGCTGGGGACTTTGTGAAGACTTGTGGCTGGTATTTTGCTGCTCTGTGTCCACTCATGTATGAGCCACTCCACATTCACCTGTGCATCCAGTTTTACAGGCCACCAGCATCATGGCAACAATCACTGCTTAGTTTGACAGCTAGGACTATTTCAGTTTCATAGGGAAAATTGTTTTTTAGCATTTTGATTTCTAAAAATATGTATTTCTTTTAAGGCACCATCATGTCTAATTATTCAGATGCCTCGATTTGGAAAAGACTTTAAACTATTTAAAAAAATTTTTCCTTCTCTGGAATTAAATATAACAGATTTACTTGAAGACAGTAAGTATAAGATTGCTGTTTGTTTGTTTTCCTTTTTAAGAAATTGTCAGGTCATTCTCATTAGTGGTAGATATAAYACTTCTAAAAGCTGTAATCCAGAATCTGAAGAGTTTGGACACACTAAGCCAGAAATTTTAGTTCTTGAAATTTATTTCAAAAAATAATCAGAGATGAAAGTAAACATATTATATATAGATATTCTTATTGTAATAGGATTAAAAAATTAGTCACAACCTAAATATTAATATGAAGGGAGTAGTTAAATGAATTGTATATCTATACAATGAAACTTTCTGCCACTAAAATTCTCTTTTTGAAGACCAGTGTGTATACAAATGGTCCTGGTGTAGTATCAGGTGAAAAGGTAGTTACATTAGTTTCTACAAGAGAAGCCTATGCAGATATGTGTCTATATAAACACCACCAATGTGCAGATTTGTAACTATTCATATGTAAAATTATTAGTGAAAATCCATCATATCAACAGTGGTTATCCCTTGCTAACTAAAATATAGATGCCTTCTGTTTTCTTCTTCACACTTCTTTGTATTTTTGAATTTTCATTAAATGATGTTTTATAACCAGAGAGGAAAGCACCTTAGAATATATTATCTTAAAAAATGTTATCTGGTCAAAGAAAATGTCTCAAAAGATATTCCAAATCGAAGAAAATCTAGTTAAAGTTTAAGAGAATGGGAGAGAGAGACTTTTTGAAGCCCTTATTGTCTTTTTTAATGCATAGTTCTTCTTTTTAACATTTTTCATGAAAGAATGCATGTGTTAAAGGCCCCTCCRCTCCCTTCCCTCTCCCCATGCCTCAGCTCCCAGGCAGTGCCGGATCTGTGGCGGGCTTGCCATGTATGAGTGCAGAGAATGCTATGACGACCCCGACATCTCAGCAGGAAAGATCAAGCAGTTCTGTAAAACCTGCAACACTCAAGTAAGTTTGCCTTTTTTTAATGAATGTGGAACCTTAAGGTATTTGTAGTTGAAAACAGGTTTCAGGTTCTGAAAAGCCCTTTTAAAGGTCATGATTAACTTTAAAAATCCATAATAAAATGATATTGTTTTTGCCTCCTCTGTTGACTTGCTGTGAAGCACTTGGTGGCTGTTTATCAGGATGTCATCAAGAGAAGTGAATCCATCACTTGAAACATGAAGCAAGGTGCACTCATGCCATTCTTTCATGGTCAATTTTAGGTCCATCTTCATCCCAAGAGGTTGAATCACAAATATAACCCCGTGTCACTTCCCAAAGATTTACCTGACTGGGACTGGAGACATGGCTGCATCCCCTGCCAGAAGATGGAATTATTTGCTGTTCTCTGCATAGAAACAAGCCACTATGTTGCTTTTGTGAAGTACGGAAAGGACGATTCTGCCTGGCTCTTCTTTGACAGCATGGCGGATCGGGATGGTATTTAAAACACCTTCTTCCTTGTGTGCAGCCTGTTAGTGTGCAGGGGAATGGCTCATGGTGGGATAGCCTCTTCTGAGTTGTAAGATATTTTGTGAGAAAATCCTTTCAGGAATATGTTAATGACTTAAATAACAGCTCTGCTGCTTAAACTAAGGAATGACATTGTTGTAATAATTGGCCATGCATATGGTCTGTATTAAAGAATCTTAAAATTCTTATTTTAGGACTGAAAGATTTTATTTTTTGCTTCCTTTCATTTTTTAATAAAGCTAGTAACCATTTATTGAGCTCTTACTGACAAGTTCTCTGGGAATACATTAGTCATTCTATCCAAATTCTTGCAAGATGGGAGCAATTGCAGTTATTTGATATGAAATCTAAATTTTGCCCCTTTCCCTAAGAAATGAAATTGGCCAAATTATGTTGTTATATTGTGTAAATGCATGAATATGTAACAAGAAGTCTCACTATTATGTACAACTATGAGGTACCAATAAAAATGGAAAAAAAAAGAAGAAAAGCTGAGTTTTAAGGTTCCTAAAGGTAGATAACTTGTATTTAGCTCAGTCTTTCTGATCTCATAATTATGGTGGGTTTTTTTTTTTTGATACACTACTGTATATTTTCTTCCAAATGGCAAAAGTTAAGAGCAGAAGTAAATACCCTCTTTGCTGAAGGAAGCCTGTTCTGTATGTACCATGTTTCACCCTGAAGTGGGGAGCAGCTGAGCTTTCTGGGTCATTTGCTAGGGCACTCAGTCATCATTGGGTACACACCTGAGTGCCAGAGGCTTGAGGAGGCAGCAGGAGTGAAATAGTTGTCAAAAGAGCTACCAGCTGCTGGCCTGGAGCTTACAGGAAGGTCGTCCTAGGCAAGGCTGGGAAGTGAGTGTGACATCCAGGTCCCTTCGTTCTTCTTACCCCTCAGTCTTCCTTTAGCCACTCTCTCAAGCCCTGGTCCCCATCTTCTGGTGGCTCTCTAATAACATTAGATGCCACCAGTGACAGCCTCTTGACAAGAGGCCCAGGCTCTAGATGAACAGTTCTCCACCTTGGCTCGGCTCTCAGCTGCTGGGTGCAGCCTAGCCCCTCTGTAAATGTGCAGTTAACATTTGCCCTTAACAGTGTGACTCAAAAGCACAGGAAAAGCATCAGGAGAATTTTTTTTTTTTTTTTTTATTAAACTGGAAGAGCTTTTTCCTAAATCAGAGCATCTTCACGCACAGATTGATAATATTCAAAACAAACTGTACCAAAGGTATGCAAATACATTTTGAAGATATAAGGAAATGTAAATGTGTTCATTTTAGTAGATCTGCTCAAATTGGACAGACTCTTGGTAAGCATGCCGGGGTGCTCCTGTCTGGGAGGGTTATGGAAATGTGAAGAGCTGAACGCTGTGCTCATACGTATAGATCACACTGTTCCCTGAATAACTGAAGAGGAGAGAATCCTGGAAATTAGGTTGTAGGATCTTTTCAGGATTACCTGTGTTTTCACCAGTTTAATTCACTGTGGCCTCAGAATCCTTTCAGATGCTGAGATGAGAAAGCTGTCACATTAAAGGAGCTCTCACTTCTAGAAATCAGAAGTTCGCTGTTCAGAAGCTGAAAGTCAGTCTGCTCTATTCTAGGACTGCTGACTTGTTTTGGTGGGGCAGGGAGGGTCTGGAACCTCACTGCCCTAAGAAAGTTCTTTCTCTTTCTCTTTCTCTTAGGAGGTCAGAACGGCTTCAACATTCCTCAAGTGACGCCCTGCCCAGAGGTGGGAGAATACTTGAAGATGTCTCCGGAGGATCTGCATTCCTTGGACTCCAGAAGAATCCAAGGCTGTGCACGCAGACTTCTTTGTGATGCCTATATGTGCATGTACCAGAGTCCAACCATGAGCTTGTACAAGTAGCCGTGGTCCTCTGGAGAGCTGAAGAGGCCGCGCGTACATTCCAGGGTGGCTCCTCCTCGCTGGGGCTTCCGTTCAGCGCCCATTGCCGGCAGTGGGTGTCTTTGTGGAGATGGTCTTCAGAAAAGGATTCATGTGTTTCCAAATCAACTGCTTTTGTGTTTCTGAAGTATTTAATAAGAAGCATTTTGCACTCTAGAAAGTACGTTTGTGTTGGTTTTTTAAGAAATCTAAATGAAGTTATTATTATCTGAAGCTTTAAGTTAAGTGCATTGATCATATGGTATTTTTTGGAAGCATAAAATTTTAATTGTGACACTTTAAACCTATTTTAGTCCATTGAGACTGTAAATAAATGTTTCTTCTTTATGGACCAAGGATATGAAATCATTTTTCCTTTGTAGCTATCAGATGCCTTGAGGAAGAAATAATTTGGTTTTATTAAGAGTCTACTTTCAATCCAGTTGTTAAAGCCGTACTGAGTTGACTTGTTAATTCTTTCCTATGCAGTGCTGATTCTTGCATGTCTGCAATCTGCTGCGTTTCCGTGTTTCTGCAATAGTGGTCAGAGAATACTGAGATTCCCTTAGTGGTGTTGTTTTCTATTTGTTCTGTTTTTGAGATCAGTGAGTGATTCTGTCATAAAATGTCCATTTTTGGATGTAATTTTCTTGGAGGATTAGAGTAGTCAGTTGAAGCTCTATAGTCACAGGAATAACTGTCAACAAACAGGCTGCGTGTGTGTGTGTGTGTGTGTGTGTGTGTGTGTGTGTGTGTGAGATTCTATTTTATGGAACAGAGAATGATAAATTTTATGAAAGGATTGGAATGATAAGTAAATTATGTATTGCTATACAATTATATAGTCTATAAGAAAATAAAATTGGCCTATAGAATTACTCATTAACACTTCCCCGGAGACATTATTAGACATTTAAACCTCTATTATTTTAAATATTTAAGAGGTTATTTTAAATAAATCTCTATTTAAATAAGATAGTTATTTTTTAAGTTTGATCAGTCACACTTAGTTCAGTTTGGTTTCACTTGAGATAGTGACAGTTATTAATCATATTTTATTGCAAATTAGCAGCAGCTTTATAGCTTTATCCTCCTTCTGATTAATTAAGTAGAAAATGGATGTTTTCTTGGGTACTTTCCATAGTGTGTGTAGACCACAGTGGATGTTGTAGACTAGAACAATAGATTATAAATGTTAATACTGTGGAATGTGTATTCTCTGAGTGTTCTTTTGTGGTGTTTGTTTTTCTGGGACAACTTCCTTTTCTTGCAGAAAGACAGAAAAGATGTCATGTGTACATAGCATATGACTTTATAAAATGCTTAATGTCAAAAAATGGAGTCCTTACCAACCATGCAGTTAGCTTTTTAAAAGGCATTTTACCTTTTAGTTTCATCATTCCATCTTGCTGTGTCTGTTATCTTTATAAGTTCTAAGAAGGTACAGAATCGTCTTCATTTCTTAATGAAGACGTCTATACRTTTTGCACAAGGCTTTGTACGGCTGCGTGCTTCGGTCAGGATGAGGTGACGACTGGAGGAGGCACAGAGGCTGAGGAGCCCTGCTGGCTGGCCCTGCTGGCATCACCCTGGGCTGAGTGAGGGTTGTGGGTGCAGTGACCAAGCTGTCTTCCAGCTTTGAGCAGTTCAGTCACCCTGTAACAAACATGCATTGGATGAAGAAATGGATGAAAGAGCCTATTGGCATGATTCTGAAAGGTCCTGGGTAGGAAGAATGGGTAGGACTCTATATCCAGGTGAGACTGATTAACAGCTCTAGTGGAAAATCCAAGCTAAGGAAGACCCAGGGCCCGGCTTGCAAGGTAGAAGATTGAAGGCTTGTTTGGGTGCTTGCATAGTTTCATAGCGTGGGGGTGGAGGCTCCTTTAAGTGGGAAGGTCCTCGTCCATAATTGGTCCCAGCATCTTCTGTAAGTGGAGCTGAACATCCTTTAGTGTCACTTGGGAGCCAGCATGCAGTAACGGGTACCAGGGACCAGCACTAGCAGGGGAGGCTGGGTTCTTGCCTTGCTCCTGAGAGCCGTGGGGCCAGCTGGGAGCTTCTTCCCTACCTGTCTCTTCCCGCCCTTCTGGTTCCTGTTTCAGCAGACCGTGGTTTGTCGCSGGCACAGTCAGGGCAGAGACCGCTGATGTGCCTGTTGGTTTTTTTTCATTTTCAGTCTTAAGTCCTTAATATTTCCTTAGACATTAAATGTTTCAATTAGCCTTTTTTCTTATCAGATCTACGTTCAAAATTACAACATAGCAGAATCATCTATTTATAACATGGTTCATGATCCATAGTTAACAAATAGAAAATATAACAAGTTCCTCCATGTCCAAATAAGTGTGTGTGTGTGTGTGTGTGTGTGTGTGTGTGTGTGTGTGTTTATAGATGAGGGAGAGAGAGAAGTAACCATGTTAATAATATAGAGGCTAAGTGTATCCCATCCCTCATTATCAGCTTTATAAAGGAGTCTGACTCCATCCATAAAAGAATGTCTCCTAAGACTGGGAAAACAGAAGAAACAGTAACAAAAATCAGCATAATACAGTTGTGATAAGAATTTTCTCCTTAGAACAGTTTAGGATTTTTGTAACTTGTATTTGTCAAATGCTTAGGTAATTCCTATCCCTTAGTTTCATTTATTTTTTCATATATGTCATTTGAGAATAAGCATGAGACAGTGATTAATCTTATGGCACTTATATTGTCACTCAGATTCCTGGTTGTTTAAATGTGTCCTCTTCATAAATCCAGGAGTTATTCCCCTGTTCAGGGGGATTGGCTGGATCTCAATATCCTTCTAGGTTATTTTGCATCTATTTGGATGATTGGAGACAGAGATGTGAGTGGAGAATTATTCAATATGAGGCCTTAGCTGAGTGACTGCCACCAACAGTATTTATGGGACATTGATTAGGTGCCTAGGATTGTGTCATAGGGTGCGTGAGGCCCCGTCCCTGTCCTCAAACAGCTTGTCATCTGACTTCAGCAGCAGGACAGCTATTAATTGTTCTTAGCTTAAGTTTGAGGGTTGTAGGAGAGACAATGTGGTGTGACGGGCAGGCAGAAGGCTAGGGGACAAGACACCTGGGTCCTTTCTCTGTTCTTGCTCTGTAGCCTTAGACATCCTGATTTCTTGAGCTTTAGTTTCTTCCTCTGGATAATGAGACGGTTATGATTTTGAATTTTGTAGTAAAAAATAAGAAAACAAAAATTCCCAGGTCCCAGGCTATGCCGACTGGATGTGACTCCTCATGCCAGGGCTGGGAAACTGTTGTTGGAAGCTTATCAGGTGAACCTGATGACCAGGTGACCAGTCAGGTTGGAAATCACTGAAGTGGAAGACCTCAAAGGTCCCTTATCTTTTTGTGATTATGGGATCATGTAATGCTGTAGTATTAATCATTCTACATAAATGTGAGTAATTGAATATTAATCATATTTATCAGTGTTTACATATGGCTTATGTAAGAAATGCATTTTAGTGTGTGTACCTCAACCTAGGGGTTTTAGCAGTCTTTGGAATACAAGTCTTAAAAGCATATCTAATGTTATTTATCTGGACATTTTCCTTTCGTTTTATTTCTTTAGGGGAAATTGAGGCTCTGGGAGCCAAAGAAATAGAAAAATGAAATTCTTATGTAAAGTTAAAAACAATTACATCATTTGTTGTTCTCTGCTTCTTTATGATGAAAATTTTAAAATGACATGGGAAGATTTTTCTGTGGGGCAGGGTCCTTTTATTATAAAGTAAGATGTCCTTGTTAAAAAAAGGAGAGGCTAAGGCCTATAATAAAAAACAAGGCCGCCTCCCCTAAGGATTGGTCATGCAGACACCACCACTAACTCTCCATCATTGAAAGTCTTTGAATTCCCTAAAACCAGTGTGTGTGTGGAGTGGTGGGGTCTGGTGGGAGGGAAGAGGGTGTTAAAATGGAAACCATGTGCAGCAGACGGGGTGGAGAAGGGAAGAGGTGAAGCCCTAATAACAGACGTGCACAGGGCCACTGGAAGGCAGGGTTCTGTGGCTCTCAAGATTGCCCCTCTTGTCTAGACTTGTCTCTAGACTCCAGAGAGCCAGGCTTCTGCAGGACATTTGTCTCTCCCTTATCTTCCTTTTAGATGTCCTACTGTGGGGAAGAACAGGAGGAAGGGGCCTCTTCATCTGACTGTAAATCCTAGAACAGCTGATGGGCTTCTCTTGGGTCCTAAAGCAGTGGTGTGCCAGGTGTGGTGGTGCACGCCCATAATCCAGTGACTTGGGAGGCTGAGGCAGGAGGACTGCAAGTTCAAAGCCAGCCTCAGCAATTTAGTGAGGCCTTCAGCAACTTAGTGAGATCCTGTCTCAAAATAAAAAATAAAAAGGACTGTAGATGTAGCTCAGGGGTAAAGCTCCCGAGTTAAATCCCTAGTACCAAAAAAAAAAAAAAAAAAAAAAAAAAAAAAGAAAACATAGCAAAGAGCTGGCAGAGAAATAGAGTCCTCCCAGATCATGGTGAATGCGGGATTCCAGCCCAGGTAAAGAGCCTCAGTGGGTTTCCTGGCCCTGGGCTGGTGGTGGAGGGCCATCTTCCCGAGCACTGTGGCTTCAGGTACAAGTCTTTTGTGCTCCTAAATGCTGTCCTCTTCCACCCTTTGTTTATTCTAGAGGGACTGTGCTGGGGACCCAGCGGTCTTGGTTTTTATTATAGGCCTTGAGCTGTGGGATTTCAGCACTGGACAGTCAGCATCGTACCACAGACATTCATTGAAACCCCCAAACTTCCCAGGGTGTCGTGGTTAGCAGAGGGTTGGTGCAAAGGAGCCCATTTCCTACTGCATTTCCATTTCCAGTATCCTGTTCAACATTTTTTTTTTTTTGCCTGAAGAATGTCCTGTATTTATGAAAACATTCTTTAAGAAAAACACCACATAAAATATCCCTTTACTATCAGATTGCTCTGATTTAGCCTTAATTTTGTTAAATTTTTTAGAGATGAATGAAGTGCTGCTGTGGAAAGAAATGTACTATATACTATTTCTGTATCATTAAAATGAAATTTTTATGGTTCCTTTTCCTTGAATTCTTTGGGGAATGGTCACGGTGATGGGAAGGCCGCAGGTGGGTCTCTTCCTCCACGTCTGCTTGGCGACAGCATGGCTGGTTCCTCTGGGAAGGGCTGTACCTGGGCACATCTGTCCTCATCAAACCTCTGCTGTCGATGCTCGTCCTGTCTGGGAGCTGTGCCCGGCCCCAGGAGTTGTGTGCTTCCTCGGTCTATTTGGCATTTCCAAGCTCTGAGCCTAAGTAAAACGCAGTTCCCACCCGCCTCAAAGCCATGCCAACCAGCAGTTGTTCCTCCCGTGCTTCATGTCCTCACCTGTGAACACGGCCCAGAGCTGTTTACTGTGGGGTGGTGTGTTCTGGTCCCCACCACTGTTAAGGAGACAGTCGAGCGTTTTGTGACACTCAGGAATGACGACATGACCTTATAGGAACTGAAGTTCTTCTCAGATCTTTTAGGTAATGGATACAACAAATCTCTTTCAGAAATGACTTGGCCGTTATGTCACTTAACTCTGCCGAGGTAGGAAAGCTAGACTGATCTTATTAACGTTGGCATTAACAATGCCTTCAGTAAGCCTTTTATTAAAAAAAAAAAAAACATAGCTGAACAAACCTGCTGATAACAAAACATCATTGATTTTCTTTGTCATATTCAAGGGTCATTATATTTTTGCATTGATTCCCATCTTGCTTCCTCTTTGGGTGTATTAGTGGGATAGGGATAGTACCATGTGCCCACCTGTGGATAGGCAGAGTCAAGTACAAATGAGTCCCTGCTAAGGAGGGCTCATCTGGCCAGAGGAACCCTAGTGCCACCCGGGCCTGTCGTCTGGGCCTGATGGCCCACGTTATCCTTTGTTACCCCTGAATGGCGTGGGTGCTCTGCCCTGGGCAGTGGGTCTTGATCCTGGTTGTGGGTTGAATCCACCCAGAGAGACTTCCACGAAGCCACTGCTGTGTCCACCCGGGGCCTCCTGGGATCTCAGATGATGGGGCTGGCGGTGGGCATTTGTCAGAGCTCCGTCCACTAGTCCAACATGCAGCCAGTGCTGGGCCCACTTGTCAGAGAGATGGAGTGTTCCGAGGGACACAGGATCTACTTCTCATTCCCTGGTGGAACTTTCTGTTCCAATAAAAGACAGGACAGACTCCAAATGGGAGGTGGAGACTCTGTTGTCAACTGGCCTTGGGAACATGATGGGTGTGTTCTGGAGACGGCAGAAGTGAGTTTGGAAGCAGGATGGAAATTTCCCTACTTGTGAAGAGGACTCGATCAAGATGGCTATAAAGGTGTGTCACGCGGGTGCTGTTGTCCTTGATCAGGAAATATTTCAAAATGTGTATGCATTTCACATCACAAGCTTTAGTTGTCTAAAACAAAACCAGCCACCGGGTCGATGAGGAAGGGAGCAGGAGGGTTCTGGGGACCCTCGGCAGCCTTCCCCTCCATGCACTGAACTGGGGACATTCAGGTTTGGGTGGGTCTCCAAGGTTGGTTGATGGCTTTGCAGTGCTGATCTGTTGTGGGGGAGTCGGTCATTTCTGGGATCTGATTAGGGCAATTAGGTGAGCCACCTAGAACTGGGCATCATGAAAATCAGGTAACCGACACAGCACAGGGATTCTCATCACAAAGTGCAGCTCAAATTTGCAAGTCTGTCCTCTTTTTGAACCTAACCACTTTCCTAGGTTTATGAGAGTTCTTAAATTTCAGAGGTCAGACCATCCCCTTACAAATAACACCCAAATCTGCTTTAAACATGGTCTTTTCCAGAGGAGGTAGTTTCCGATTGCATTAGGGCCTAGGAGTTGGCTAGGAAGTTGACTCTATCTGGTAGCCTTCCCGGTCTCTCTCCAACCATCTGAGACACTGAGAGTGACCTCTGCGGTCTAACCTTGTGGGTGCTAGTTGGTGTAGGTCTGACCAGCCTGTGGAATAAATGCAGTCAGGCTGTGGGCCACTATGACTGGCTTCTTGCCTGGTCTAGTTGACCACAGAGGGTGCTCTGGAGTTGTGGGGTGGGGTGATGATATGGGGGTGTATGCATTTTAAACAAATGAGTGCTTTACTATATCTGGCCATCTCTGTAAACTTCAGCATGTTTTGTTCCTATGCATTTCCAAACTGTGCCTGTAGGCCACCTCTGACAGGTGGGATGGGCTACTCTGGACAGACAGTTGCAGATGTCTGTTTGGTGGAGCACCTCAGAGAAGCCCTTGAAGCACTTTAGCCAGTGGGGTGCTACTAAGTGTGACAGGTTTCGGGGAGCTCTGATTTGTAGCCTTTGCCAATTGTGTGGTAGAAATACCCACGCCACAGCTGATTGAAACTACCAAAGTGACATCTTTGGAAAAAAGGCCCAGTAGGATTCATATCAGTGTTCAGGGTTTTCATTGAACAGATTTGATACACATGAAGACCCAGGCACAGACCAGAGGTCTGCAAACTGGTGCCCATGGATCAAACCCAGTCTAACGTTTTCATAGCATTTTACTAGAACATACTCACGCCCATTCATTTATGCACTAGCTACCGCACAGCTTTTGCTCTGTATGGTCAGAATACAGCGGTTGTGACAGAGACCTTATGACATGCACGACATGAACTATTTACTAAGTGACCCTTTACAGGACAACTTTTCTTATCTTTCACATAGATAATGGTAAAGTATAAAATAACATTGTCTAAAATAATTATGAAATCATTAGGTATGACATAATTAGGAAGTGAAGAATTTTGAGTGTTTACTACCTTTGTTTTAAATATAACATTTAATCTTATGTTCATATAATTTAATTTTAATAATGGATGCATTTAAGAACTGGATCATACATTCATAAAAATTTAATGATTGGCTCTCATGAGCCCCAGCAGCAGTTCCAGTTTGCTACTCACATCATCTCAAGTGTCCCTGCAAGCACTTTTAGGGACCTGACCCTCTGACCATGTGGGTATGTGGGCTCTGCACCAGAAACAGGGGCCTTCTCTGATTCCTTCAGTTTTCCTTCCTTTGCATCTTGATCAGTGCCTGGCACAAAGTAGGTGCTCAAATATTTGCTGAATGAAAGAAGTCGTTCAACCTTTTGTGAAGAGAAGCTACCACCCCATTCACTATTGTAGATCTGACCAGAATCTGATCACTGTCTGCATTTCCTTTGAGAAAGCACAAGAGGTCCCAGTCTCGCCTCCCACATAATGCTTCCTCTTAGAAGTGGAGATGTCGTAGAACTTCCCATAAGGCTTTTATGAACTTTAAATGAAACCGTGTTTGAGAAGTGCTTGTCATAGTGCCTGGTGCTTAAAAACCCCTCCCTAAATAGTAGCCATCAGAAACAGCAGCCGCAGCAGCAGTAGTGGTACTATTATCATCATGAACTTGAGAGAAAGTGGCAAATCTAATCAACATGTCACTTTCCACCTCTCTTCTGCCTTCATGATCTTATATTCAGGTCATGCTCTATAGATTGTTTCCTAAGATTACTTTCTCAGCCATCTTGTCCTTCTGAATGCAGCAGCGCCATCTCGTGGTCATTATGGGTTATGACAATATCCTAGATACTAGCTCCCCAGTAAGTCAGCAAAGCCGACCCCAGGTTTGGGGAGCAGCAGGTGACTTTTAAAAGCAAATGTGGCAGGCAGGGCTACATGGCAGATTATAAATTATAATCAAGATGGTTTAAACTTTCTCTGTGTATTTTCAAGACAGCTGGTGAGCAGGGTCCATTCTGCTGGTGACTGTCCTCTCTCACAATTGACTGCCCTTTTGTCTCAGTCTCTCCATCCATCTTGAGCTTTTAGTCGCCCTGTACTAACAGCATTTAGAATGAGTTAGTGCCATCTACTGGGCGAATGCAGAAAGGTCAGGTGTGGAGTCCTCTGGCATCTATAGAGA